GGTCCAGGAAGGGGAGAGAGGTGTTAGAGATGGTCCAGGTAAACTTAAGGTTGGGGTGGAAGGTGTTAGTGAAGTGGATGAACTGTTCGAGCTCCTTGTGGGAGCACGAGGCGGCGCCGATACAGTCATCAATGTAACGGAGGAAGAGGTGGGGTTTAGGGCCGGTGTAGGTACGGAAGAGGGATTGTTCCACGTAACCTACAAAGAGGCAGGCGTAGCTTGGGCCCATGCGGGTACCCATGGCTACCCCCTTTGTCTGTAGGAAGTGGGAGGAATTGAAAGAGAAGTTGTTGAGTGTGAGGACGAGTTCGGCTAAGCGGATGAGGGTATCAGTGGAGGGGGACTGGTCGGGCCTGCGGGACAGGAAGAAGCAGAGGGCCTTAAGGCCATCTGTATGGGGAATGCAGGTGTAGAGGGACTGGACGTCCATGGTAAAGATGAGGTGTTGGGGACTGGGGAATTGGAAGTTCTGGAGGAGGTGGAGGGCCTGGGTGGTGTCACGGACATAGGTAGGGAGTTCCTGGACCAAGGGGGAGAATATGGAGTCTAGATAGTTGGAGATCAGTTCGGTGGGGCAGGAGCAGGTGGAGACAATGTGTCGACCAGGGCATTCAGGTTTGTGGATTTTGGGAAGGACATAGAAGCGGGCAGTGCGAGGTTGGGGAACGATGAGGTTGGAGGCCGTGGGTGGGATCCACAACCTCATCACCTCAGGTGACCTCTCTGCTCCTATGATGCTGCTTGGCCTGCTGTGTTCATCCAGCCCTGCACATTCCTGCATTCCACCTGTTTTACAGATAAAGGTTTTCATTCATTGTGTCTGGAGGTTTGGTGTCATTAGATCCTTCTCTATACACTTTCTCTTCTCGAATCCTTGGGTTTCACAAGCAATAGTTAATCTCAATCCAATGATATCTCATTCAATTGATACTCTTCACTGGGGCAAGAACATTGATGGCCACTATCCATGTCTTATTACAGGATGACACAGAAGTGAAAATCGATTGCAACAATTTAGCAAAATGGCCTAACAGTAAAGTGTGCACTGTCGCATACCCAGTGTTCAGGTCCCACTCCAAGGTAACAATTGTTTATTTCAGAAATGTGCAATTAATATTTTTTAATCCAATCCTAGGCTCGCACAATATGAGTTCCTGGGTTTTATAAGCAAAGAGATACTGAGGAATGTACAAGTTTATCTGGCATTAGAACTTACTTTCCAACCTTCAATCTCCTCAATTTACAAAGTGTGTTTAGGGCATGGAAAGGGTGGTTGACTTTTAACTGCCCTCTGACGAGGCCTTGCAAGCCACTTTGTTACCCAGACTGGTACCCGTGGTTCAGGGAGGCAGTCCATGTCCACCTTTTCAGGGGAACTAGTGTTAGCTGATTAAATACCAGCCTTACCAGTGATGCACACACCCCAAGAATTAATTGTAAAAATTATGTGCTGTGATGATAAAGTTTTGAGGAGAGAGTGGGGTCCTTGTTATTGGACAAAAACACATTAAGGGAAAAGCTGATGGAGATTGACAGCAATGAGTCATTCTGAGAAGGTAAATTGGGGAAATTTGTTTCCATTTGTGGATGACAAGAAAGGCCATCAGTTTAAAGTGATCAGCATTAAAGAGAGAGGTCTAGAGTATTGAATTTTATACAGTTTTTTTTTATTCTTTCATGGGATGTGGGCATCAGTGCTTGGGCAAACATTTGTTGTCTATTCCTAACTATCCTTGAGAAAGTGATGGTGAATGGCCTTCTTAAACTGTTGCAGTCCATCTTCAAAGGTTGGCTAATGTGGTACCATTATTTGAGAAAGGCTGCAAGGAAAAGCCAGGGAACTATAGACCAGTGAGCCTTACATCAGTGGGGGATAAGTTGTTGGAGGGAATCCTGAGGGACAGGATTTACACGCATTTGGAAAGGCAAGGGCTGATTAGGAATAGTCAACATGGCTTTGTGCATGGGAAATTGTGACTCACTAACTTGATTGAGTTTTTTGAAGAGGTGACAGAGGAGGTTGATGGAGGCAGAGCAGTAGACATTGTCTATATGGACTTCAGCAAAACGTTGACAAGGTTCCACATGGTAGACTGGATAGGAAGTTAGATCACATGGGATCCAGGGAAAGCTAGCCAATAGAGGGTGGTAGCGGAGGGTTGTTTTCAGGACTGGAGGCCTGTGACCAGTGACGTGCCACAAAGATTGATGTTGGGCATCTGCTTTTCATCATTTATATAAAGGATTTGGATGTGAAGATAGGAGGTATGGTTAGTAAGTTTGCAGAATAGGTGGTGTAGTGGACAGTGAAGAAGTTTATCTCAGAGTACAATGGGACATTGATCAAATGGGCAGAAGAGTGGCAGATTGAGTTTAATGTAGATAAATGTGAGGTGTCGTATTTTGGTAAGGCAAACCAGGGCAGAACTTGTACAGTAAATGGTAGTGTGCTGGGGAGTGTTGCTGAACAAAGAGACCTGGGTTGCAGGTGCATGGTTCCTTGAAAGTTGTGGCGCGGGTAGACAGGGCAGTGAAGAAGGCGTTTGACATACTTCCCTTCATTAGTCAGAATACCGAGTATAGAAATTGTGACATCATGTTGCAGCTATACAAGGCATTGTTGAGGCCACTTTTAGAATACTGCATATAATTCTAATTACCTTTCTATAAGAAGGATGTTGTTAAACTTGAGACGGTACTGAAAAAATTTACAAGGATGTTGCCAGGATTGAAGGGTTTGAGCTATAGGGAGAGGCTGAATAGCTGGAGCTATTTTCCCTGGAGCGTCAGGGACTGAGGGGTGACCTTATAGAGGTCTATAAAATCATGAGGGACATGGATAAGGTGAATAGCCCAGGTCTTTTTGCCAGGGTAGGGGAGTCCAAAACTAGGGGGCATAGGTTTAAGGTGAGAGTGGAAAGATTTAAAAGGTCCTTTTTCATGCAGAGGGTGGTGCATGTATGGAATGAGTTGCCAGAGGAAGTGGTGGAGGCTGGTACAATTACAATATTTAAAAGGCATCTGGATGGGTACATGAATAGGACGGTTTAAAGGGCCAAATGCTGGCAAATGGGACTAGATCAGATTGGAATGTCCGGTTGGCGTGGATGAGTTGGATCGAAATGTCTGTTTCTGTACTGTATGACGCTATGACTCTATCTGGTGCCATTAGGAAGTGAATTTCAAGGTTTAGATGTTATTAAAGGGGGACTGCCCCACCATCTGTGCCAGTGGTTTCTCTATGTGCTGTGTAATTTTGATTTAACAACTCAACATCCAAACCCTGCTCCATCACCAGTGCTCTGCCAACACCGCTCCCCCTCACACCCATTCCCTAGGGACGCCTCTGTGCTTAATTAAGCTGTTGGCTAGATTGGCTAAATTCACCAAATTAGTACTGAGCTGTTTCATTTTGAATTCAATTGAATAAAAATCTGGAACTGAAAAGCTAGCCTAATGGCAATAATGTGACCACTGTCAATTGTTGTAAAATAAACCCTGTCTGGCTCTCTCACTTCCTTTAGTGAAGGAAATCTGCTGGCCTTACCTGGCCTGGCCTACATGTGAGTGCAGACCAACAACTGGTGACTCCTGACTGTTCTCGGGGCAATAACTGCTGGCCTAGACAGCTACACCCAAGCCCCAGGAACTACTTATTTTTAGAAAAAGTTGGATTATAGGAATCCAGAAAACAGTGTGAAGCCCCTAAAACCACGTTGTCACTCAAATTGTTCATGGCTGAACTTCAACATCAACATTTTCTTGCACTATCCCCATATCTGCTGATGTCTTTAACATCTAGAAATTTATCAGTCACTTTCTTGAAGGACGGAGGTCTAAGGGATATTAGGGAAAGTGTGATCAAAGATGTCCGATTTGTGAAGATTTGTAAAAGTGAAAGAGATGTCACAAGCTAGGGAGTTGGTAGGAAGAGTTCCAGATGGTGAAGGTGGTAGGGTGAGGGTTAGACTAGAGTTCAAAGACCTGAGGCTTAGAGCTGGAGAAAGTAGAAGGGATAAGAGTGGTGAAAGAGCTTAGAGGGGCTTGTAGACAGGAATAAAGATTCTGAAGTTGGCATGGGTGAGACTTGAGACAGATAGATCCTGGCTGGTGGGTGAGGAGTGGCACAGGAAGCAGATGGCAGAGATCTGATGGAGTTGAGAACTTACTTCAGTTGGAGTTTGGGAGGAAAGAGTGAGAGTGAAAGGTTTTGGAAAATGTATTCTGGAGGTGACAAAGACATGATTATGGAAGGGAAATTGAGGTGAAACGAGATGGATAAAACCATAGACTAAATACGTAGAAGGATCATTGGCTTCAAGAAAGAAGGGAACACTATTGTAAGGAAAAGAAGCAAAGTGGTGATAAGCAGATATAGCAGCTGTTGTATATGCAACAATAATATCTAGGGTCCTGTGCACATGTGGAGTTACCAGAATTTTCCATTAATATTGCTTTGGGCCTTCTTAGGAATTACAAACTCAGCTGCATGAACAAATCCCTGTCATTTTTTTTTTTCTGGATTTAATTTCAAATGATCAGCAGCTAAGAATGTAACTGCGTGGCAACGGGAACTATAATGAGTGCCAGAGTGAAGTCAAATTAGCTGTGGAACCCAGAGCTATATCAGACTGCTCTGGCTGTTGTACAGAATAGACTTCAGCTGTGCTGTAGCCTTGGACTGTTTTTGGTCTTTAAAGTCAATGATTCAACCCGACCTTTCCAGAAACTAAACAAAAAAAAATTTGGAAACTGTGGTGAGGGAAGACTTATGACTGAGTGTAAGGAATGTGAAGAGTTTTGGCAGCGGAGATGTTCCTGCCAGAGTAATGTACCAATGTTCTGCCTTTGTCTGTCATCGGACACTAGCAGGTTGGTGTGGTCAATCTCTGCCTGGCTCTGTACTCTTGGGCAACAGCTGATATTTTTCTGATCTTTCTAGGTGGCTTTTCGATTGGAGTTCGAATTCAACCGTTTCATCTTCCTGGACAATGTGGCAATTAGCCTAACTGTCAGCAGGTGACACACTCTCAAAAAAGAAGTACCAGTTTAAAACTTGTATTATTTTTGTAGCAATGTTTCGAAGAAAAATCAGTTTTCTATAAGTATGACTCGATGCAGTTCTTGTAAAATTGTCCAACACCTCAGGAATATTTGAACATCTGTATTCAGTATTCCCTGGCCTGTTTACATCAGTGACTGTCCAAACACACACTCTGCAATTGAGAAATATTTGGCATCACCGGTTCACGGTGACAATCCACTTCCTCTTTGACTCTGCCCTTTGGCAGACTGCGCATCCATTCATGGCCTTTCTTTTTATTTTTTTACATTCACAGGATGTGGTTGTCGCTGGCTAAACCAGCATTTATTATTCAGCCCTTGTTCCCTTGAGGAAGTGGTGGCAAGGCGCCTACTTGAATTGCTGCAGTCTCTGTAATGTAGGTACTGTTAGGGAAGATTCTGGGGCATTGGTGGGGAGGGGAAGGTTTCACAGTTTTGAGCCAGAGATGGTGAGGCAACAATGATATAGTTTCAAGTCAAGATGGAGAATTACTTGGAGGGAACTTGTAAAATGGTAGAGGACCCAGGTTTGGGAGATGCTGTAGATGGAGTCACTGCTACAGTGCAACTTCTGGATGGTACACTCCAGAAACCATGCACTGAAGGTGGTGGATGGTCTGTCTATAAAGTGGCCTGCTTTGTGCTGGTTGGTGTTAAGTTTCTTGTTGCTAAAGGTGCATATATCCAGGCAAGTGGAGAGGGTTCCATCACACTACTAGATCACTTGCCTCTGTGTCAGAAAGCCATGGATTCAACTCTGACCGTAGACTCAGAGCATCTATTCCTGGCTGGCGTTCCCAGAGCAGCACCAAGGGAGCGCTGCACTGTTGAAGATGCCGTCTTTCTGATAGGACATTAGACTTGGGGACCACCTGCCCACTCCAATGTATCCACAGCACTCTTTGATAGGAGAATTTTGCCTGTTGTCGAAATCAATATTTGTTTCTCAACCAAAATCAACAGAGGATCTAATCATTATCACATTGCTGCTTATGGGAGCTTGCTTTGCACAAATTGCTATCAGTAACTCTCTACAATTGTGACTACACCTCAAAAAGTACCTCATTGGCTGTAAAGTGCTTTGGGGCATTTTTAGATTAGGAAAGCCTCCTTAGAAACGCAGATCAAATCTTTTCCTCC